TCTTTACGCCCATTTTTTTACTGTGCAACCTCTGATCGCCCCTTCCCATCCAAAGCAGTGGGTATGTGGAGATTCAAGTACTAAATACATCTATATCTAAAGATGTTATTTATTGAATTGTAATATTTTAAGGAAATGGCCAAGTAAGGTAGAACTCTAGTTGTTGCTGTGTTCTATTACTTCTAGTTTTTGTTATCTTCCTCAACTTACTAAATTGTTACTTGCTCTTTAACGGATGCATAAGAGACCAGAGGGCTCATTTGACAGAGACACGTATTCTAGCTTATCCTGCCAAACTGTCGTCCTGTTTCAGCTAGTCGCATAATCATCCTCCCTAAGTGGAACTGCAACTTCATGAGGACAAACATTAAAGCTATATTTCCCTCTGCAAAAAGATTTCTTACAATGCTAAAATTTGTTATACCTTTCTCAACTGTTTCTATTCTGAATCTGCCGGTCAAACAATAGCCAAAGTATAATCAAATATATATATATATAAAAAAAGTTTTGTTTTGCTTACAAATTTAGGCCTGACAGAAGGAAATATACGACATGACTCTTGCCAGTTTCATATATTCAGTTTATGGACCAAGGAGTTATCATTCATCAATCCCAATAATACCATAAAAACAATAAGGAAAGGGAAAAGGGAAACATTACCATGCGCTGGTCTAACAGACCGTTGTCTATAGGCTTTCTATTTTCATCATAATACGCAATCTTATTAACTTCAACTTCGCCAGCTTTTAGTACTTCAGCGGCGGAGAATGTAGAAAATTGAATGCTTTCTCTGGAAAATGGCAAGTATATTTGAACAACCGTATAATTCCAAAGCAAAATAAACCTTTAACGATTCTTGCTTCTAAATTGAATCATCACTCATCTAAACACCAAAGTAGCTCATGCTGCTAAAAAAGAAATAGCTATAACAAAATAATAAAGTGTCCAGCAAGTTGTCCAGTCAATATCAAAGGAATTTGTCAATTCAAACAAGAACTATGCTATATGCGACTAAGAACCTCTTACTCATAATCAATTGGTCGTCATCTATTACATTTTTTTACTAGTCATTGTACATTGATACATCTTATTTAGACCTTCAAATGGTTTTCGTATAATCAATTGCATTAAGCGACTGTACTTACATCCTTCGAGGACCAACATCTTCAACGTACGGTCTCTTGGTGAACTGTATGGTTCCGGACTTCTTCATCCCGTCCTGCAAAACCACCATTAAAATAAAATAAAAATTAAAAAAAAAAAATTTAATGAGATCAAATTTATAAAACCACACAATCAGAATACACCAGTAAGCTTATTTACAAACTTAATCTTCGTATTTTCCAATATTCACAATCTTAATCACAGAAATTCACAATAATCGCCTAAATAATGAAATTACAAGAGTACATGTATGAAACATTCTCTCCAAATTGTTATCACTCACTTACTAATTGGCTTAAGTAATCAGTTTATAAAACCCATCTTCCCTAAAATTTCATCGAAGGAAAATTGATTTCAACAAATTTCTGCAAATTTCTGCAATTATTTACCGAAAATTTCATGAACGATAGCAAATGATCAAATGAACGAAACGGTTTTCACGAGTTTTAAGCAATCGACAAAATAAAATACAGATACAAAAAGGAAATTGCAACAAGTTCTTAGAAGATGATCACGTGTACGTATAGGTTCGTCGCGGAATCTTCAAAAACCCTTGGTACTGCTCCAATTAACCTGTTCGTATAGATTTTGAGCGGTTAATCACTGGAGAAACTTTTTTTCCACTAAAAAAATGCTGAAGAAATATAAAATAGAGAGTTGCTTGGGTTTAATGCAATTTTTACGTACAGTTAGGGTTTAAGAATGAAAATGGGTGGCCCAATTTTTATTTTTATATCAGTCCAGCCCAAGATTGTGGAATTCCAATTCTGGGGAAGGAAAAAAGAAAATAGAAAAATAATAGGTCCGTATGGGGAAACGGGTCGGGTTTTAGAACTTCGGGTAATTCGGGTTGAGTTATCAAAAAAATCGGATTTTTAATATTCTAATAAACTCAAATGATTTTCGCGGTATAAAGTTATCAATACCGTTCACAATATAGTAAAACGGGCGTCTAAAATTATTTTTCACGTTCAAATTGGGAGTGAAAAATAGCTATGGGCTCCCGTTTTGGGCGTGGGATGGGGGAGTGGAAGCTCGTTTTGGGGCATGGGATATGAGGAGCGGACGGACAGCGTGGAAATGGTGTTCGCACGCCACCAGTCTTGTAATAACCGATTCCACGATTGGACCGGTTTTTCGGTTTGAAACTATTTTACAGTGATTTCTTACTGAGCTATTTATTTTAGTTTAATTATTTAATTTGTTAAATAGTAGTTTTGTTTCATTGATTAATTTAATTAATGAATTTTGTATCGGTGATTTTGTATCGGAAGAAGCAAGGGTCGCGTGACTCGTGTCATGCGGTCAGATGGATTTATCGGACATGAGGCCTCGGCAGATGAGATTATTGCACAACGAGAGGGTAGGACACACAAGCGTAAGGTTACTAGATCAACAGGGGCGAGGCAAACGCATTTTGCGGTCGGTGGAGTCGGAGGCACGAGCTGATCCATCGGACGATGAGGATGATGATGCACATGTAGGTTTTTGTTCCCAAGATGTTTATCCGATGGCAGATTTTGGATTAGATGGTAATGACGATGGCGACGATAATTTCGCACCCCCGACTACTTTGACTGGTGATGCTGATACTTCGTTTGGTGCTGATACTCGTCCCCGGGGTTGTACTTCCTGTCGCACTGCCACTTCTAGCCAGGATGATACTCGTCCATGGAAGTTGACTGGTCCGACACCCGGTGGCCATACTGAGATTGAGTTGATACCAAGTTTTGGAGCACGTCACCTATGATTTTTGGGAGCGAAAGATAATACTCTCTATGTTACGTCATTTTTCATCTTGCCACAAATCTTAAGAATAATCTCAATAAATGCGTCTTCATTTTAAGAAAATAGATATTGATAGACCAAAATAATAATAATAATAATATTAATTAAAAAAAATAGACAGAGGTGGTCGGCGCCCAGCGGACTTGTACACGTCATTCTGGGCGCGAAAATAGTTTTTTTCGCACTCGTTTTGGTCGTGAGCCACTTTTTTCAAATTTATAGAACGAAAACGAACAAATTTTACCTCATTGTGTTGTGTATCTCGATCATCATCCATTACACTTGTTTTTCTTTGTAAATCGTTTCATAAAAATGGGTTTCGGGACGACTAATAAAAAAGTTTGAGGGAGTTTTTTTCTAGATAAATGAAGGGAGAGTAGAGAATGAATTATTGTGAACAATATTCGTAAAAATAGTACCGCGTTTATCAAGTACCACAAAAGAAATTAAGAAAGTTGATCTTTTTCCTTGAATTTTTTGACAAAAAATGATATAAATTTGAAATTAGGTCCAAGCATATACATAAATTCATTTACTTTTGCAATTTTGAGAATATAAATAAAATAAATTGAAAATTAGGCCAGGAGAATAAGATATGGCTTAATTTCATTTTGCATCCTCAAAATGTAGCATTTTAGCACTTTGTCCCTTAAAAATAATTTATGGCACACCCTACACATTAAAAATATGTTTAATCGTTTAAATTACACCCTACTCTATTTTTCGGCTAGAATTTCCATCACTGACCTATTTCTGATTGTCAACCTCATTTTTGTTTGAACATTTTGCACCTCGAAGAAAAAAAAACAATTGAATACACAAAAATGACCATGTTCACGATCATAAAATAAGTCGACGACAGAATATTATGGGCATAAAATACATTAGGGTGCACTTTGAAAGAATAAACATATTTTGATAGTGCAAGGTGCCATAAATTATATTTGAGAGTGCAAGGTGCCATAAATTATATTTGAGTGTGCAAAGTGTCATAAACATATTTTGAAAGTGCAAAGTGCCATAAATTATTTTTGAGTGTGCAAAATGTCATAATGGTACATTTTGAGGGTGCAAAATGAAATTAAGCAAAAAAGATATAGCAGTTCAAATTTGATGCGGGACCCGTTGAGAAACGAATAAAACCGTTGAGGGGTAATTTCGTAGTTTCCGCGTGTAGAGAGGGCCAAATACGACCCGCGCCGGAATTTCAGTGTCTGAAAGACAGGCTCGAGCCGCCCGAGACATGACCCGGGAACCGATGACAAGTTTGCCCCTCTCAGTAAAGACACAATTCTATCTGTACGCCCCTTTTCGCAAAATGACAATTCAATCCCCATTTCCCAATAACTCTCCTCCATAATTTCAAATTTTGAAAAATCAAATATATTTATTTATTTATTTATATAATTATTTTATTTAATATTTGGTCTTCTCTCATTAAATGTCACATGCCCATCAGATAACTTACAAACTTTTGCCCAAAATGATTTAACACTTTTTTGCGTCAAACTTCATTTTTTCTACTTTCGTGAGTGAACAAATCTCACTTTTTTTTCCACTAATAAATACTACTGCAGTATTGTTTTTCACAAAAAAAATAAATATATATATTTATTTTAAAAAAAAATTGTTTTCTATGAGGTCAAATGCAATCTACTAATAAGTCAACATAAGAGCTCGTTTTTTTAACGATCGATGGCCGGACGGAAAAAAACACATTTCCCTCATCAAACATCAGATAAAATCTAATTATTTAATTAATCTCGATACCCTACTAATCAAACGAGGTCTCGAAATATAATTCCAGGAAATGAATTTTGAGGATTTTTTTTAATTAGTGAATGATTAATAATTTTATGTTAAAATTATCCAATGTGTATTTCACCACGTGAATCTACCAGACCCTATCACAAAATTGTTTTTATTTATTTATTTAGAAAAAAAAAATTGTTTTGAAATATAATTTGAAAAAAAACTAAGTTATTTGCAATAATCCAAATATACATACAATCATTATATATGAGAAGAATATTGAAGTTAATAAAATATTTCATCAAGAGCGCATTAATTAGTCAAATTGGATAGTGAAATTGAAAACGTTTTTTCGGGGGTTTATTATTTGGCTATTTTCGTCATTTTACCTCATTCAAATTTCCGGATCCTCTCGCCGCTCTCTCTCTCTCTCTCTCTCTCTCTCTCTCTCTCTCTCTCTCTCTTCTGTCAAAACAAAATATACATACAAATCTCCTGTCTCTATCGTACTTCCCCAAATTTCAATTCACATTCTTTCACTCTGCTCAAGAACAATCCTCAGCTTTTCTTCTCGCTCATCACCTACATTTCTCACAGTTCTCACTCTAGTGTGTGTGAGAGATTTCTCAGTTCTCACTCTACATATTTAGTGTGTGTGTGAGAGAGAGAGAGAAAAAAATGGTGGAAGAAATGGTGGAGGATGCTATGAATGAAGAGGAGGAGGAGGAGGAGTACACATTCACGGCGTATGAGATTGATCTCGACTACGAGTTCGACGCGGCTCGCTTCTTCGATTTCAGCCGAGCCGAGTCGCCTCTCGAGGCACGCCACGCCGAAATCTGGTTCGACTCCGCCGGAAGCTATCCTCCTTCTCGTAATCTTCTTCCCCCACTATTAATTTCTCTAACTGTTGCTTTTTCTGTGTTTCTATTCTTCAATGTTGAAGCTCTTCGTCTCGTTGGTAACTTGTACTTTGTGTTGGAATGTAATTCGGTTTTTTTTTTTTTTTTTTTTTTTCTTTTCAATTTTCCATATTCATTTTTCTGGTTTGTTTTTAAATTTGCTGGTTAAAGATGCCATAGTTGGTTCACTATTAATTGATAGTTTGTTTTGTTCTTGAGGAATTAATATTGCACTCTTACTTAATTAAAATGGTATAGACTGAATTAAACATTGAGTAGAGATGAATTTTTTGAACACAATTATATTTACTCTTATGAATAGATAAAGATGGCAAAATTAAAGAACCAATCATTGTAGTTAACAATTTTATTTTCTGTTAATCAATTATGAAATGGTATTTTGTTTGCATGTGTGGTGTGCTTTTGTAACTTTCTTATTCAATTTAGTATCGTTTTACGAACTACTCTTGTATTCCATTTGCAGCATTTGTGGCGAGGTTAAGGGAGGAACTATTGATGGGAAATATTAATATTTCCCCCAAATCTAAAGGCGTGGAGAGCATGAACTTGTCTCAGAGCGACTCCGACGCTGAGGCAGACCATGAAATATCTGCTTCGGGAATGATTTGTGGAGGTACCACTAATTATAGAAAGTCAAATGTTTTCCTTCTTTGCTATATTAGTTTCCAGTAATACACAATTATAACCCTAGCACTTGCATAATGCAGTTACATTTACTCTAAATATGTACGTCGATGGATTCTTGATATTGCATATTAGTCGTTGTTTGAGGGAGCATTATAAGCATGCTTAATCTCCAATGTTTTAAAGTTTTTCCAAGTCTATTTTCAGTTCAGTCAGAGACATTGTATTTGATGATGATTCAGATTATCACTATGTGGTATATGACATAGTATTTCACCGGGATTCTATGAAGCTGTTCACACTGAATGTCAAAAGTTTTACATTTTATAAGAAGGATGTCGATGAAGACTGTCTACTACATATCAGATGAAACCTTCAAGTATTATTCGGCTTTTGAGGTCAATACTCGAGAACTCTTATAGTTTATACCATAATGCCATGAGTTGGAATGTCTTGAAGATTTGATAATGCCATTAGGTTTACTCAGGCATTCGATTTTTGTGCCTGATAAAGTCCGATAGTCATAGTCTCACAGATCCGTGTTATCATCATTCTGCTCCATTGACATTAGGCAACAATCTCATTTGGTGTTATTGAATCCTGTCCGACAGATTTAACGAGTCACTGGAGAGTGTTCTTGAATGCAAATGATACACAACACGGACCAATGTCTCATTTGGGGCCAAGGAAACATCGGAATAATTTTATCTGTAATTAGATGCTAGATCAATCTCTGATATTGTTGTTGTGATTCTGAGGTCAAGATGTCTGGCCATGCAAGCCAGAATATTTAGGGAAACAATGAGTGATTCCAGACGAAAATTGTTTCTGTAGTCAAGAATGTGAAGTTAAGAGGTGAGGTAGTTCGATGAATTATGATGGTAGAGCGGCAAATAATGAGTCATTAAAGACTGAAATTGTTTCTCTAACAAGTGCTGTATTTTTTTAATTATTATTCTGTATAGTATCATCAAGTTAGATATCTTCATAACAACAATATCCATCGATTTTATCAATTTAATTACTTTGTAAATGAAAACTGATTTCCTTTTGGCACAAATTCATTTTGAATGTGATTATTAATAACTGCATTATTCTATATTTAGATTTAAGTGCATCACCTATATGCTAACAATTTTGTTTTTCCTAGATGAAGAGCAACAAGATAAAGGAACTTCCTCCACAGTACATATTGGAAGCCAGCAATACTTTCAGAACCACCAAAAATTACCCTCAGGTCATTCTTGTTTTTTGATGGTTTTGTGTGAAAAGGTTCAATTTTATTTTCCGAGAGTTTCTGTTTGTTAGTCTATGCTTTATTCAACTCATTTGAGTTCCAATATGAATTTGAGTAATCTCTTGTTATTGACACATCAGATATAACTTTTGTTTGCATGTTGAATGGCTTTTGGATCTTTATGTCTTCCTAAATGTGTAACTTCCTTTTAATCCTATATTTCTGCAGGGTTAACGTTTTATAATCACATGGTGAATAATGTAAAGTCAGAAAATCAAGCTAAGCTGTCCTCAAAGCCTTCTTTCCCAAGAACTTCAACGCTTATGAAGCCAACAGCCAGTCAATTGGCTAAGCAAAATCGTCCTTTTCAAGCTGGTTATTCGAGGTGATTATTTTTGCCTTCATTCCAAAGTGTTAAGTTGGTGTCGCTGACTCGCTTGGGCATTTGAATTTTTTTTTTTTTTTTTGTATCAAGTTCTAGGTTGTTTCTTTGTATATTCAAGTCCTAGATAGTTTCTTAATGATTTACCAGTTCGTCAATTACATACGGAGAATCCATAACGAGGTTTGCACATATCATAATTAGTAGAAAAAATGTTACTTCAAATGCTAGGTCACATGTGCCTGTCTTAGACAAATCATCTAAAAGCTCAACTAGCACTTGTGTGATTGAGAATCAAGCTGCAAAGAGGCAAAAGCTCGATGGTGGTCTCCTGCGGAAGGTAAATGTTATGTTCTTTTAAATTCACTCTAATCACTGTTTGAGTCTAATACTTATCTTGTTTTTACTTGTTACCGTCAAATATATAGTTACAAAGTTATTAAGGCTGTGTTTAGATTGAAGGATTTGAAATTAGTCCAAATGTGCAAGGATTTGAAATCCTCCATAATTGCTCAAAAACAACTATAAATGAGAGCTATGGATTTGAAATCCCTTGTCAAAAGACTCAATCCAAAAACCTCAATGGATTTGTTTTTATGGATTTGAAATCCCTCCGTCAAATCCTTTCATCCAAATGCACACTAAGAGTATTATAATTTTTTTCTTCCCCGTTTTAGTGTTTTCTTTCTTCTTAGTGTTTCTCAGAAGTTTTATCCTACCAAACAGGTGGCTACGGTGCAGCTGCAGCAGCCTAACTTTGTTCACAAGGCACCCAAGCGGGTATGTAGATTACATCTCGAGCATGATCTTAACAAGCCTTAACAATGTCATTTTGAACCCGTGTCATTGCAATTATTGCACATGTGTTCTAAAGATCTTTTATATGATTTGACAGGATGGATTACTTGATGGAACCACAAGTCATACTAAGCCAAGGATCACTATTCCTAGAGACCCCCAACTTGAAACAACACACAGAGCCCAAAGAACAAGGTTGGTTTCATGTAGTAAGAGATTTTACTCGAATGGATTTCAAATGCTTAATGGTTGCTTTTCTCAGGGAAAATAATAAAGATGAAAACGTGACTTCAAATCTTCGTAGATTCAAAGCTCTTCCATTAAACAGAAAAGTTAGTACCTATATTCTATTAAGTGATTTTGTCTACCTCTATGATTATAGTATAATATTCATCAATAAGTCCTGTATCTGCAGATTCTCGAAGCACCTTCATTGGTTCCAAAGAGAAGTACTCCTCGTCTACCAGATTTTCAAGTGAGTTCATTTGACGGAAAAAAAAAAACTTACAAAAGAAATTTCGATTGAGATGATCTAGTGCTGATTTTTTTTGTTGAATTTGGTTACAGGAATTTCACTTAAAAACGACACAGAGGGCTCTGCAGCATAGCTCAGCAGTTCTAAAATCCACAGTCCCTTCCGGTTATTCAGACAAGGTTGTTAATTGGATACTTGAAATATGATTCTCATAATGTTGTCTGATTTGTCAATATGAAGTCCATGAGATTATCCTTACAAACAGACTGCAAAAATATTTGAGATATGCTGACAATGATGTTTCATTCTTTTCTATCTGTTTTGTTGCAGGAATTGCACAAAGTGACCACTAACCTAACCACAGACTGTGGAAACAGAGAACCTGGAAGGTAACTTTTTTGAGATGCTGATTATGTTCACTGTTTCCCGGTTTTGCTGATTATGTTCATCCATCTACATTTCATTGTATTTTTGTAAATTCGATGGTGGACTTGACAACTTGTTTTTCGTTTCAAATTTTATTCCTCATAAGTATGCATTTATTTTCCTGCTCACATCGTATACGAATGATCATCTAATCACGTACATCTCACTATTGCACTTCCATCTGATTTTCTATCTTTTGCACTTTTGTTAGTCTTGTGGATGGAAAGTCCGATCTTCACTCATTATTTGCTAAACATATTTCTCGACTATAGTTGGACCCTTGGATTCTCTCTAACATGTATGTACCTCAATATTTTTTATTTATTTTTTTGTCAGACCCAGCATTATGAGTAATGCTTCGAATCCCGATGGTTGTCAACAATCTCACAGATTCAAAGCTCTTCCACTCAATCAGAAGGTAGCCTTTTAAATCTTTTTGCTGTTGAAATATAGGCGTAAAAATGTAATTCACTATGTTTCGTAAACTGCAGATATTGACAAGCAAGGGAGCTATTGGAATTTTCAGAAATAGTAAAAAGGAAACAACAGTGCCAATGGTATTGGAATTTGATTTTAGTTTTAGGATATTCCATTATTTCGCGAAAAATCACATAACAAAAATCGTCTATCCTACTTCACAGGAGTTCAATTTCCAAACTGACAAGAGAAATCATATTAATCCTCCAATTGAACTATTCAATAAGGTAAGTACTATGAATGCTTTGTGCTTACTTAATTTATCATTATGTCTTTACACTCCATTTAACTGTTACCAAGAATCATCTACGAACCACTGCTCTATATTTGTAGACTGCATAATTGCCGCTCGAATTATGTTTTTATGCAATCCGTTAATTTACTTAATATCATTGAAAATAAATTGCATTTTGTGACACTTCTCTCTTTTGCTGTACTAGCTCTCTCTCGCATCTGAAACACAACCAGTAGCTAACTCCGCTTCGAGAGTACCATGGTCGATCAGCACCACGCCGGCAAAGGTTTCCACGCGCGCGATTCAATTTTCGTATTAACAATTTTAGATATGTTATTTTTAAGGTTCTTATTTGAAAGAAAAATGATTTTGTTACAAGGGCTTAAAAGAGAACAGGCGGGTTCACTTCCAGCAAGAAAATGAGGCACGGTTTGCTCCTTTGTTAATTTCATCCTTATATTTAGCTATGCGTTTTTTTCGAGTACATCGACTTAGTTTGCTGTTTCAGTCATGCAATTATATTCGTTTAAAAAGAAAATTGATGACAGATAAAACAACATGTGAAAACGAAACTGCTGCTTGGAGGAAGGCAACAATTCGGTGCCAACGAGGAAAGAAATGAAGTCAGTACTGCTTCAGGCATCAACTGGTAACAAATTCTTATCCTTAAAAAATTGTCTTACTCGAGTTTTATAAGAGTACGGCTAATTATGTAGTGCTGCTGCAGGATTAAGCCCGTTCGGTGACATTTAAAAAGGGAATATCTCGAATTGATCTTTCGAGTTTTTTTTGCCATGGATTGAGGCTGGCAAATCATGGTGGGATATTTAACAGGTAAATAAATCTGGCGGTGAATTTTAATCAAGATTTTGGGGTATTATCCCATGATTTGGAATCCCTCAACCAAAAATAGAAATCATTTTTATACTAGCAAAAAATGGGGTAATTCCTTATCTATTATGTAACCAATCAGATTTTCGTAAAATAAAACGTCGGTGCGGTCCCTTGTCTATGTAATCAAGATTCATTAAATAAAATGTTGTAGGCCGAAACGTGTATAGCGAGAACGAATCGTGTTCCTATGAAGCATAAGCTTTAGCTTGTTGTCTTACAAAGAATTTTCTCATCTTTTTTTCTCCATTGGGTTAAATACTCGTGTCGTGATTGAGGTAGTGAATTCGGTATTCAACGAACGGGATTACAATCTAATTATCGGTCGAGCAAACAAATTCGTTTTACAAGAATTGGAGTTGGTTAATGTGTTTCACTTTTGAACCTTTTCTTGCTAGAATCTGCAGTTCTAAAGCCCTGTTCGACTGGATCGTAGGATGTAGGTGACCAAACGATGTATGGTTACTTTGCACATATATTCATGTATTATAAGCGATTGTTATCTATACAACATACTCATCAAATTCTCATTCGAAATTTGGAGCTCGCAATTTCAAATTCCTACCAGTACGTTTTTTTCTCGCGACAAACATTAATTATACGCAGCAATGAAGATTCAAAATAATGAAAATTGGCGAAGAAGAACGATAGTAAAATAGTTTGCGGAATTGTTCATTCCTAGCAGACTGACTATCAAACGACAATTTTCGTCACAAATTTGATAAAATATCGACATTTGGCTTCTCGGAAACGATAGAACGAATATTCATACGTACTGTATATGTACATTTTGTTTTTAATTTTCTGCTGGTTGGACCAAGTCCTGAGAGTTGCAATGGCTAAGAAGTCAGAATTTGGCATTTTTTTTTTCTCTTATATACAAATTGCTAGTAAGTACAAAGTTGATACAAAATAATAGTGTTATTATACAGTCCTACATATAAATAACTTAAAATATTGATCACCATGAAAGTATTCTGAATCAAGCTAACAAAGCTTCTTCGAAAATTAAATCAGAACTCGTTCGAAACGGCCCTAAAAGCTTTTACTTATTGCAACCATAATATCTGCAATTGCTTATCAAGCGTTAGCAATTACCGGTCGTACGGAATTTATTTGAATGGAATTTGATAAATTAAAATGATATTCTTACAATATTATTTTTATTTTCTCTGTTCATCATTGCAGTTTTTAAGTGCACAGAAGGATCTCACAATGTTTTCAGTCCGAACATCGCGGATGATTTCCGACAATGTGTGGCAACAAAGACAGGCAACGCTCTCGTTAGTGGAAATGACGTGATTACCCTTTGCCATGGTAGGGAAGTAGTGGTGCATTTGCAGTTTCAGAACATTGTGCAGAGGGGGTGAAGCAGGGCATTAATGTAACTTCATCAGACATCGGGGTTATTTGATTGGTTTAGTCATACTGTAATCTTATATAAAGTAAAACATCAATAAATTAATAACCTCATTAAAATAATATTTTATTTCGGTCTCACTCGTGGACAACATGCTAAAAAAGTAATTTGATAAATTAATATTTTGCTAAATTAATTAATATTTAACTGGTCCTAACTATATTAATTTATAGAAATTTATCTGTACGTCATTTTCCAATTTCTAAAGCAGTGCTAATTAAATGAGATGCCAATGTTCACCTCAATTGAATTCACTTGGTATCCTAACATTTTTGACACTTCTTTTGTGAGTAAACTGCAAAAACTACCCTGTGTTATCTCGAAATAGCAAAAACCCCCCTGTGATAAATAAACTAGCAAAAACCCCCCTGTGAAATTTAGTCAAAGGCAGAATCCCCCCTAGCTGATTTTTTAGACTTGAAATGACAAAATTGACCCTCAAAATGTATTTATATATATACATATTATATGTATATTTATTCTTTTTAATTTATTTGTTTAGAAATTAAAAAAAATAGTAAACAACTAAATTGATTATTTTTTAAATAAAATAATTAAAATATTTATAAAATATAAGAATTTATTAATTGCAAGACTCCAGGGGTATTTGTGTCTTTTTATATCAAGTCAACCCTCAAATAGTTCCATAGGGGGGTTTTTGCTATTTAAATAATTTCACAGGGGGGTTTTTGCTAGTTTATTTATCACAGGGGGGTTTTTGCTATTTTGGGATTACACAGGGGTAGTTTTTGCAGTTTACTCCTTCTTTTGTTACCCTAACATTCTTTTTCTTTTGATTCTATATAAATTTGCAGTAAATTAGGTTTATTTGATGCTACGCTCTGTGAAATACATCAGATGATTATTAACCGTTCATCTGCACAAAATCACATCAATAATTAAAAATTACCCGGTGTAACATCTCTCAATAACAGTAAAATAGCATAAATAAAAATAAATAAATTACTTTGGTTATATTAGTGGCAAACATGATGTGGAATATCTTGGAGTACAGATCACTGAAATGTTGCAACAATAAATTCCATCATTAATACATTAGAAGAAAAAAAAGGAAGAAGAAGAAAGAAGCAAGTTTTGCTTTATTGCATTTAATGATACAATAAAAATAGCAGTAGGATTTCTCATCAAAGGAAATAGCAGATAAGGTTGATCTTCTTGAATTTAAAGAGTAGGGTCCACCCTTTGGAAATAAATATACAACTTGATACACAATATAAATTATATAACCATAAAATGAATTCAAATATTTTGGATTAAGGTTTGAAGCTCATGATTAAAAATGGATATATGAGTGATGATGAGTCCAACTTCAAACCATATTATCATACAAATCTAAATGAAGAATATCAGTGGCGAAGTCATGATTTTGTCATTTGGGCGCCGAATAAGCATTAAAAAAATAACGTAAATAAATTAATGAAATCAATGATTGTTCAAATATTCGGCGAGTCTAGGATGCTGTTATACGGTGGGCTTAAATTTTTGGCGGATTTAGGGTCTGTGCCCCGAAAAAAAAATTGGATTTTTTTTTTGACAAAACCAGAACATAAGAAAAGAAAGGGTAATGATTTTTTGTTTTTTTCGCATTTATTTGCATTTTAAGTGAACTAAATAATAAAAAGTTAGCGGAGTCATTACATATTTAGGTGAAATATAGTGGAGATTTTTTCAACAAGGATGGACTTGAGTCCATCATTTTCCGAGCCACGATTCTTATTTCCTTGTTAGATCTATTTATTATTTTTCTTTATATTTTTCAATTAAAAATACTTAATTTAATTATAAAATTAAATTGTTAAAAATTAAAGCAGCACAATACAAAGTAAAAAAAAATTATATATATATTAGTAAAAAAAAAAAAACTAAAATTTAAAGAGGGGCCACGGCCTCCTACACATGCCTATAGAACTATAGAACTATTCTAAACCTAATTTAGAAGGCTTTCTTAGAAAATAGAAACTAGAATTAATGGAATGCAACTGTCAACACTTTTAACCTAAAATCATTTCAACTAACTTTTGAAAAATAGACTTCTATTAGAAACTTATAAATTAATACTCGATAAATTAATAATCTCGCTTAAATAATAAGTTCTTCCGGTCCTGACTTGGTGAGAATGTGATAATTTACTAATTCGATAATTTAATATTTCGCTAAATTAATAATAAAAGATTTAACTGTATATCATATTATATATCAAATGCCCTAAATCTTAGTAGAAAATTAGCCAAAAAAATGAAGCATTATGAATTAATAAAGAGATGAGTTATTCACAATTAAATGTATCAAAATAGCCAAGAAAACATGTTTGAAATTTGAATAATACACCATGGAAGGCAATTTTACCTCCACAATATTACAATTTTTGACAATTCCCAAAGAATAAACCTTTTATCTATGTCTTAAAAGTGAAAGAGAATTTTCAATTTTGCTTTATTCTCTTACAACAATTCCCCAACTCAGAACAACAACATACAAAAGCAGAGAGAAAATTGACCTATACATATAAAAATTATAGATACATACATATATATATCATTAACTTTTGATCCCAACAAATCAAGTTTCTAAATCAATTTTGAAGGCACAACAAAAATGGGGCGGGCCATACCTTAATCAACTCGAAAATCGAGAGTATTTTGCTGTCAATGAGCTGTCGTTTTAGCCCGTTTCCTCGCCTCGCTGTACAGCACGACCCCCATCACGGTGATCGCGAACCCGGTCATCCCCATCACATTAACCGGATTCTTGAATATCAGAACCGACACGACGGCCGCGACGGCCGCCTTAGCATTCCCCAACACTTGCAGCGTGAGCGCGCTCGTGTGCTTCGTCACCAGGAAGTTCGTCAGGTTAACCAAGTACGCGACCGTCGCATTAGCGACCAATAGAAACACGATAAATCCATCCCCCCTCCCTTTTTCGATAGTCACGGCAAGCACATTCCCCTCGACGTAGAGCGTAAACGGCAGCAGGATCATCGCAGCCATCGGAGCCATGTAGAGCAAGAGATTCATCGAGTGCAATTTCTCGGAATCGGAAGTTAGCAGAAGCCCCTGCACGACGGACTTCAACGCTCGGCCAGCTGTCGAGGTGACGCACATCAAGAAACCGAAGAGATGGAACAACGGCTCGCTGTTGCTGGCTAAAACAATGCCGAGAACTACGGGTACGAGCGCGAAGTACACTTGTGGAGATTCCGTTTTACATGTGATTACGAATGCGAAGATGGCGGTGAAAAACGGGGTGGTGGCGCCGATAGCCTGGTTGAACGAAACGGGGAGGTATCTCAGTGAGGTATTTCCACAAACAACTGATAGGCAGAAAATTGCGCTGAGTGCGAGTATCTTGAAGAACTGCCTCCGGCTCTGGATTTGCTGGAAGGGAACGATTTCGAGCCATTTAATGGCGAACAAGCTGTAGGCGGCGCAGGATAGCATGTGGAGCATGGTTAGGAAGATGGGGTAGCGGTAGCCGTAGAAGCTGAGGAGGTACTTGTTCAGGAGGAGGACGCCGATGTTGGAGAGATACCAGGACGCGACAATGGCGGCGGTGAGGATGGTGGGCGGGATCGGGGCGGAGTCGTACTGCTGGAGGAGGCGGTCCTCGGCGGTGGGGGTGCCCGGAATATCGAGAACTCGGTCGCCGCCGTCGTCGTTGTTGTTGTTGGGGTCCAGACGCGGGTTGCTGGCACGCCTCGTCGTCCATGATTGAGCTTCCACCATTAATGCAGCAGCTCCGGTGTCGAGAAAAAAAAGGGTTCAGAAAAAAATGCAGTCTTTAGTGTTTCTGCATTGGTCGGAGTGTGTGTGTGTGTGTGTTTTCGGACAGTGTAGTGTGAATGGATCTACAATGGATCTACCGGAATGTCGGGGTGGGATAAGATTATAGGTGGGGGTGGGTGGGGGGGGGTGGGGGGTGGGGGGTGGGGTGGGGGGTTGGATCTGAATTGTGAATGGACGGTGAAGATTTAGATTTGTGTGTTGAAGAGGAATAAGGACCGTAGGATGAAGGATTGAGATATTGAAATTATAGTGAGTAATAAATCGTTTTTATTAAATGGTTCGTCTTTTTATTTATTTTATTTTATTTTATTATTTATTTATTAAATGTTTCTTGGTTAAGGTGTGAGGGACTGTCGGTTGTAGTTATGTTGTAAAATAGACTATACATAAGCTTTTATGTTTGTTGAATATTTTTATACATATTAAGAAAGTAATTTAATATTTCAAAAAAAAAAAAAAAAAAAAAAAGAGAGTAATTTAATATACTGTAGAATCTCGATAAAATTGATGTCCGATAAATTAATAATTTTGTTTCAATAATATTTTTCCGGTCCGAACTTGAAGACAATGTGAATTTATAAGATAACACATATTTTTATGATAAATCTATAAACACTTACAATATATGATTCGATATTATTTTGTTTCTTGCTGAAGTTGGCGATTTCACATTAAGTGCCATTTTTCACTTTTCTTAATATGGTAAGAACTTTCAGTGTACTTGTGTCATAGGTCAACAAGAAATTGTGCAGCAATGTTGTTGCTATAAGAGCTTCTACAGGAGAAACGAGCTTTATATCATTTTCAACTTCATCATCTTTATCAGTTTTCATGATGCTCTCAATTATTTGTTCGTCGGTTAATATCTCTAAAGTCACGTTGTTTTCTTATAGGTAGTTTAAGATATATCTAATATCCATTTTGTTTCAATAATTCAACTAACTGGTTAAATTTACGTTGTTTTCTTTAAGATAGTTTAAGATATACCAGTATCCATTTTGTTATGATAATTCAATTAATTAATTAGATTTTTGTAGTTCTTGGATATTTCACCATTTAACAGTTGTCTATAACTTTTTTTTAATATTTATTGAAAATACTAATAATAATTTCATTAACTAATAAGTTATTCGTTAATGTATAAATTAATAATTATTAATTTATAGATAATTTAATATCTTAATAAATTAATAGGTTTATCCCAATAACAATCATATTAATTTATAAACAAATAGCTATAGTTGAATTTAGGAAAAGATGTATAAAAAATCTAAAATAACCTTTATCCATTTAATAAGAAGATGATGTGATAGAATTAATGCTTAATAGAATTCGATTAATAAGAATACAATATGGAAAAAAATACATTTAATACATTATTGTAACTCAATTGAACGGATTCATAACAAATGGTCGAAAAATACACCGAAAATTGAAATTTTGGCTACTTGACCAAAATGTTGGGGTGGAATAATCTATTATTTGAATTTTTAGAGGTAAAAATGCAAATAATTTAAATTTTTAGGGGTGAAAGTGCATTTTATCTAAATTATTTTATATTCTTACAAGTAAATTCGTTAATCAACTGCATTTTGGTGGAAAATGAGGGCGTTTTTTCTTCCAATTTCCAGGCACATTGTCCGCATCGAAAACCCGAACCCGCTTACGAATCCGACCCATTTTTCATCCACCGCCACTCGTCGTCTTCACAAAGCCAATCGAATTTTCTCTGAAAAAATGGCCACCGAGTCAACCTCATCCCAACTCACTCACACCATCAACCTCCCGGGTCAACTCGGCCAACCCCTCACCGTCGTTGCTGCCGCTGGCGTCTCAGATTCTGATTTCAGGTATGCTACGAAAAAAGGGAATTCTTGAATTTTTTCATATTATCTATTCTTGAAATTGAAAAAAAGTAGAATATTTCAATTTTTATATGTGATTGAATACTGATTTAGAGGCAATACGGCGTCGTTTTCTGTGATACTATTCAAAGTGCAAAATCAGTTTGAAATTGGAAACCATTAGTTCGTTTATTTTAGGGGTTGAGCGAGGAGGCTGCAATAAATTAATACTCGATAAATTAATAACCTGGCTTAAATAATAATTTTTTCTGGTCCCGGCTCGGTAAAGACCTACTAAATTATTAGTTCGATAATTTAATATTTCGCTAAATTAATAGAATTTTGGTAGTCTCGACTCTATTAATTTATAGATATTAATTTATAGAGGTTTAACTGCACATTTCTATTTGAGGTTCCTTATTTTCCATTAAATACTAAATTTAATTTCGCGTGTCGTTTCGTCTTTGACGAATACATATTTCCGTTGGAGGGAAAAAAAAATGGTTTGGTTGGACCGAGTAAAATCTAGCAGTGACGTGAAATAGAGCTGTGTTTGGCTTGATGCTTTTTGAGTGGATACGTATCACTTAAAAGCACGTGTATGTATATATATATATATATACGTTTGTATGTGAGAGATCGTGTATCTCACGTTTTCTGGTTTTAATGCATCTATTGATTTTGCAGGAATGCGATCGAATGTACGTTGTTTAAACAGTGGTTAAAAAACATACAGACAGAAACAGGACTGCTGTCGAATGGAGCCATGTCCGTAAAACGGGTGGTTATTCAGGTTTGTGATAGCAATCGTCAACCCTCTCGTTTTTTCTCAACATTATTTTTCTTGCAGTGGGCTAAAGTTTTTTTGTATTATATATTTTAGTGTAATGTTTGATTTCTTTCCTTTTCCTTTGTCTTGAAGATAATTTCAGACGACACGTCATTTTACATTTGTTTGCGTTTTTATTTGGTGTCAATTTTCTTGATGAGAAGAGTATGCTACGGTTGAATCAATTGAGGCTGTTTTATAATTGTTAGGACCTCAATTGATATATACATACAGGGTATAGAATAAATTACGGCCACCCCCAAAACCCCTCCTATTTGGTAATTACAACCAGCCCCCTCAACATTGAATCTTTTTACACGTCCACCCTATTGGTGTCAAATTCAACAAAATCTTCTAGATTCCGTGGAATGTTCTCTATTTTGCACTCGTTTTGGCAGAAATGCAGTTTTCGATGCACCACAATGTGATATTTACAAGTCAAGAGACACACAATATTGTTTCAAAATGTGGACCTCGAATGGGGAAAAACGGGTACAAATTGGAGAATATTCCACATAATGTAGAAGATTCCACTAAAATTGACACTGCAAGGGTGGATGTGTAAGAAGATTCACAGTTGAGGGCCTGGTTGTAATTACCCAAACATAAGGGTTTTTTTTTCGTAATTTGACCTTACCTCAGGAGAGTGACTGTAATTTACCATATATATATATATATATATATATATATATATGTTGCTTAGTGTTATTTGTGTTATTTGTACTCGGTGCCGATTTGTTTATATGATATTACGACTTAATTATTAGCTATTATATTTGCTGAATACGTTCACATTAGCTTGTAGTGCCTTGTACAAAAGGCGATGTTCTTAGAAATCGTAGTCTCTTATTATATGTTAAGAGTGTTAAGTAAGTATCACGTGATTAACTTTGTATAACATGTGGGAAATTGCAAACATCGCAGCGAGTGTTCAGTTCTCGTTGTTATCGAATAAATTATCCTCGAGTTATCTGACTCCATTTAACGTTTGCTGTGACAGGGCGTAGATATGTTTGGAAATCGTGTTGGATTTCTCAAGTTCAAAGCAGACGTAATTGACAAAGAGACTGGAAGCAAGGTATCTCTCTTTTTATCCAACTTGACGTGACTAAATATCTGTGGACTGTGTGTGTGTGTGTGTGTGTGTGTGTGTGTGTATATTGTATATATAAATATCTCACTTAACATGGATAGGTTCCGGGCATTGTTTTTGCACGAGGACCGGCTGTTGCAGTGCTAATCCTTTTGGACTCAGACGGAGAGACCTATGCCGTGCTGACAGAGCAGGTAGCTTTTTTTTTTTTTTTTTTTAATTTTTTTTTAATTTGCGAAAAACATTTAAAATTACCGAAAACTTATACCTCATGAAACTCTGATTGCCTTCGGTGAACATATAAGGTTAGGGTTCCTGTTGGGAAGCTTGTATTGGAATTGCCAGCTGGAATGTTGGACGATGACAAGGGTGATATAGTTGGCACTGCTGTTCGTGAGGCTCTCTCTCTCTCTCTCTCTCTCTCTCTCTCTCTCTCTCTCTCTCTCTCTCTCTCTCTCTCTCTCTCTCTCTCTCTCTCTCTCTCTCTCTCTCTCTCTCTCTCTCTCTCTCTCTTCTCTCTCTCTCTCTCTCTCTCTCTCTCTCTCTCTCTCTCTCTCTCTCTCTCTCTCTCTCTCTCTCTCTCTCTCTCTCTCTCTCTCTCTCTCTCTCTCTCGTAATTTCAAATTCACTTTTGCTGATCGGGATGTATGACAGGTAGAGGAGGAGACTGGATTACACCTAAATCTGGATGATGTTGTCGATCTTACCGCCTTTCTACATCCGTCAACTGGATGTAGAGTCTTTCCTTCTCCGGTGCGTTGACTTTTTTTATCGAGCATATATCTTGATTTCCATCATAGTATTATTACCACTGTATCGCATATATCCAGTGTCATCTTTATTTTTCTCTGCCTCGTTTTTTACTTAGGGTGGATGCGACGAAGAAATAGGACTGTTTTTGTACAGAGGAAGTGTTGATAGAGAGATAATTAAACAGCTACAAGGTAAAGAAACGGGGCTTCGAGAACATGGTGAGTTGATCCGAGTTCACGTCGTACCGTATAAAAATCTGTGGCGTATGACGGCCGATGCAAAGGTTCTAATGGCTATTGCTATCTATGAAATGGCTAAAAGGGATGGCTTTCTACCATCTACCTGAAATTTATTTGTCTTTCTTAGTTATTCAATTAGAATATAATTTTTTGCAAAATTAAAATCGGAATCTAATATGCATTCCAATTTCCAGTACCTTTCCTCAAAAAAGTCTGAAAAATAGGAAATTGAAGTTTCCGGGATTCGGAAATAAAAAATGTGTTCTAAAATCTCATTTTCCATATAACTACGGATAGAAACCAGATGGATCATATTGTAATTAGCTCTTCCGGAAAGATTCCACTTTTTTCGGAAGTGAAAAATTGATTCTTATTACGTTCCAGAAAAAAAAAAAACGGAAATCAGAATTGCTGAAATTGGAATGAAAAACTTGTTCCTAATTTGAAAATTTTGGATCGAAATTAGTGGAATTTCAATTAGAAAATATTTTCGAAAATTAAATTTGGAATTTAATATGCCAATGCTGTCTCCAAAAAAAGTCTGAAAAATGGGAAATTGTAGTTTCCAGAATCGGAATGAAAAATATTGTTCAAAAATCGATGACATTTGAAAATTTTATTCCAATTTACACCCTTAATCCCGAGTGACTAACTTGGAGAGGGATGACAATACAGATTTCGATCGATCGCTTACTAAAATGACATACACCCCTTCTATTATTTTTTTTCATAAAGATTAATTGTACATAGAGACACAAATTGTCGAAAGTGTACAGTACAAACCTAGTCCGGAAAATCACACATAAATCTAACTCTTGGGCGATATTTGCTTAAACTTTGCTGGGGACAAAATCGGAATTGGTTGCTTCCCAGATAGTCGTACCGTCGCAAGTGCAAAGTTTTTTGTAATTCTCACCAACTCCTGCACTTCTTGCTACCACCGCAGCTGCTATACCTTTGTCCGATTTATCTTCCGTTGCGTATACAACTACTGATCGTCCAATCAGATCATTGATTCTTAAATTTTCTTTCACCCCAGAAAAAAACGATTCGCCTTTTTCATCGACGTATAATGTTCCCAGGTCACCAAGAGGCTGAAACATCACACAAAACTCTTCGATTCGGAAAACCTCAGAATGTTATCAAAGAGTTAGAGGGTGTTTGGCTACAGCTTATTTTGAACATCTGACTAATTGTTTTAAGGTTGTGTTCGCAAAAGCTTATTTGAAAGCATAAGTTAGTGATTGTGAGTTAAGATGATATTAAGTGCTTAATTCTAAAAGTTGGGGGTGTTTGCCAAAAATCTGGAAAATTAACTAAAATAGAAAAAGCAGGTACATGAGTGCTTTTAAAATTATAGCTTAAAGCAACTTATTTTAAGAGAAGCAAAAGCAAAAGTCGGTTTCGCAAACACCTAAAAACAGATTATATGAGGAAAAAAGCTCATAATCTATTTTTAAAAGCTTTTGCAAACACCACTTAAGAGCTGATAAGCTATTACATCTTATTTTTAAAAGTGTTTGGATAATGAGCTTATAAGCTATTTCTATTCGTTATAAGAACTTAAATAAAAATGTGGTAGCGGTACTTTAAAAAAAAAAGATCTTAATAGCTCCTTATCTAATTAACTTTTTGAATTTTTACGATCTTTTTCAAAAGAAATACCAAACACTTTTGAAGAGCTTATAAACTCTTAAATATCTTATAAGCTATTTTTTAACAGCTTATAAGCTTAGCCAAACACCCTCTAACTAAAATATAAAATGATTCACATCAGCTTTTAGACGAAGTGGTCATTTAACAATTATAATACCTACAAATAAATCAAACTAGGAAAAGCGAACACTAACCTCTTCTCCGTTTTTGGTGGGATTGAATATTTTACCGGTGGTTGCAGCACCCTCGGTCAAATCACCGAATTCATTGATTGACCAACCATGGTTGCCAGGTGGCAAACCACTAAAGTTAGCTTCTACCCTAGCGAATTCCATACTCACTTGAGCTAATCGGACAACACCAAATATATCCGGACCTTTGAATTCGGCGACTGCAGCCGAAACCAGAAAATCTGCATCATAAATCGAGCGTGACAACTCTATTAATTACTACATAAAAACCTTTCTTCATATAAAAAAAAATGAGCAATATCATCTATTTACCTTCGGGTACCCCTTGTCCGATTAATCTGGCTTTTCGACCGGTTTGCTCCAAGGCTTCGGTTAATGTCTTCACGGGTGAAGTCCCGAAAATTCTTACAACTTGATTGGTCAAGTCCACGTCGACATTTTTAACTCCTGAATATTGAAGTATTATTAGTCTTTGTTATTATGTCGAACGAAAATACTGAAGCGATTCACTGATGATGAAAGTAGTATTTTTTTTATTAAAGAACTAACCGTCGAGAGTCTGCAATTTGTTCTTGACGGATTTGACACAGCCCTCACATGACATATCCACCATAAATTCAGTCTGTACAGACACAAATATAATCGTTCCTAAGAATCATATTATCTACACTTAAGTTATCACTCATCTGAAACGAAAACCCAAAAAAATTCTGAAGAAAAAGAAAATGAAAACGGAAATAAACCGTTGACCACCTAAATGCAAAATTGATAATGTTCATTCCTTCACTGTAGGTCAAGTAATCATGAAAATACATTCATTTCGTGATGGGATGGACAAAGTTAAAACAGCTTATAGTCATAAGGCAGAACTAAATAATCTACGTCGATTGAGCTGCTAAAGATATCCATAATTAGAGGAAAATAACAAGAGATGTTTTGATATACGAGCACTCAAATTCTAAAAGCCGAAGCCCGTACACACTAAAGACAATAACAATTCTCTAACTCCGACGACGACCTCATTCACAACATTCTCTATTTTCAATTATCGTCCGATAACAATGGGAGAGGCACCCCTCATTAATTAATTCAAATTTCCTTTTAACTGACACCGTAAATCTCTGTTTTAATTGTATGCAAGGTCCGACTCGATTTCCTAAAAATCATGCTTCTTTCAAGTTTCATCTTGCTTCGTTTTCATATAACATCAATCTACAGCACTTCATCAGAGAAACTACACATTTGCTCTTCTTTTTATCTTTTAAGGCCTCGTTTGGTTGCCAAGATAAGATTAGTCAAGATAAGATTAAATAATCTAACGAAACCCAATTATATTACTGGACCTTCGATGATGCAATAAAAAACATGTCTAGAAGGCAAGATAAACCATGATAATATAATATTTGCGGGTCGACACAGCAAGTTATTGGAAATACCTAACATCAAACAAAGTCCAATTATTTAGTTAATCATGACTCATCTCTCCAACCAAACGAGGCCTTAAATTTGGAAGCTAAACTGTAATCTAACGAAACCCAATTATATTACTGGACCTTCGACGATCCAATAAAAAACATGCCTACAAGGCAAAATAAGTCATGATAATATAATATTTTCGGGTCGACCCAACCAGTTATTTGGGATACCAAACATTAAATAAAGTCCAATTATTTAGTTAACCATGACCAATCTCTCCAACCAAACGAGGCCTAAATTTGGAAGCTAAACTGTCAAATCTAAATTCATACGCAGATGTTCTTTTTCTTCGAAAATTTCATCACGCAGACAGCACTACACAATTTAATCAACCCCCAAAAAGCTGGCAGAAAAAAATTCAATAATTTTTAAAACAAAAAAAAGAACTCACCAGCAGCTCAGGTAATACCGCACCATCCTGCCACAAAAAAAAAAAAAAAAAAAAAAAAAAAAAAAAAAAAAAAACCCTAAAATCAATCAAATTAGATTCTCAAATTAATTAAACATAAAAAAAAATCCCCATACCAAGAAAATAAAAACGATCGAATCGAACTAAACAATTTCATCATCTCCGAATAAAATTACTACCTGGATTGCTGGTTTCTGATCCATTTCAACAACAGCCGAAGTTTGGTTCCCAAAACCCTTTACAGAACCCGGTTTAGAACCCGAATTCGCCGGTCTACGAATGGAGGCCGAAGTATAACTGAGAGACCCAAAAGAAACGTTACTGGATAGCCGTTTGAAATAATCCGACGAGTGTGAAGACGGCGGCGATGAGGGGAGGTGAGAGAGAGCGAAGGCGGCCGGAATTGCAACAGTGGCTGCGGCGATGGCTGTTGTTTTTGTGGTGACCACTGACCTTAAAAACGCCATTTTTTCTTCCTTTTATTTCTCGTGCGTTCTAGAATATGGACTATGAGGACTACTATTATTTAGGGTTAAATATACTCTGGACCCCTATACTGTAATTATTATCTCATTTACACCCTATACTTTCTAAACAAGTACAAAATGGTCCCTTCTGTTTGTAGTTCTGTTAGTAGAGAATGACGTGGCACGTTAACTGAAAAATGATAGGATGATTACAGTTTTGGTCACTAGATTATAGGCCTTTTTCGATTTTGGCCCCTATACTTTTTCTGGCACGGAATTGATCCTTAAATAATCAGTTTTTTTTTTACAATTTTTGTCCACCGTTTGAAATTGTTGTTAGTTTGGACGGCAAAATCACGTGCGAGGCATGTGATCATGCACTAATTCCTAAAAACCCTCCTATGGTATTTTTGTCATTACAAATTTTTTAGTACATTTCTCGAACTTAATTTAATTTGGACAAAATTGTAAGAATAAAGTGATATTAGGGTTAAATTAACAATATATATAAAAGTAAGGGGCTAATGCGCATTTTCACGTGCTTCGCACGTGATATTTCTGTCCAAACTAATAACAATTTCAAACGGTGGACGGAAATTGTAAAGAAAAATTGTTATTCGAGGACCAGTTTCTTGCCAGAAAAAATTAAGGACCAAAATCGAAAATGATGTATAATATAGAGATCAAAACTGTAATTATTCCGAAAAATAATCATTGTCATTCAATAACATAACAGTTAACAAGGATGAGAATAAGACTAATGAAACAAATCATAACAGGTACAATATAATGGAAAAAAAGAAAGAACACACACAAACACACACACATATGGTGTTCTTAATGCAGTTACTAAATTTAAACCAGCTTGGCGGAAATGGGACTTCGAACGGCGTGTTTGGCCGAACGCCACACGATAGCTCCTTGCGCGTAACTCCCGTTGACAGGGGTGGTAGATTTGCTAAAGCTTATTTGATATGTCATCTTTTGGTTCACTTCGGTGAATGAAAGAGTAGTAGGTGTCACTTCTACATGTACACCCTGAGTCTTGATTTCGACCGCGTAAGTCGAGTTTGCCTCGCCGACGTTCGTCACCGTCCTTGTGTACGTTTTCGTTGCCGGCCCGAGTTCGACGGAGAACGAAGGGTAATTCAGTTGCGCTTCGGGTATGCTCGTTGTATTCGAGCAAGAAACGTGTTGCCCCACGATGACCTGGATTTCCTGGTCCGTGTAGCCTAAGCCGCACAAGTAAGGGATGTAATCTTCGGGTTGTAGGTCGTAAACGAGCCCCGGATCATTAGCACTCGACGGATTAACGTGCCCTGCTCCGAGGGCAAATATGTCGGCAGGCAAGTGTCTCTCGTCCTCAATGGGCCCACCCTCTAAGTCAAGCTGACCGGCGGTGGTCATAATGGCGGACTTGATGGCAGCAGGCGACCAATCAGGGTGAGCGCTTTTGAGCAGTGCTGCAATGCCGCCGAGGTGCGGGCACGACATTGATGTGCCCGAAATCATGTTAAATGTCGCCTTGTCGTTCGTCTTGTTTTCGACCGACACCGGCCATGCAGCTAAAATGCTGACACCAGGGCCGATGATGTCGGGTTTCAGTATTCCTGGACTCGCCAAACTCGGCCCCCTCGACGAGAACGATGCCACCGTTGGAGCCGATGGGGATCCAATAACCGTGCCTTCAAAATAAATGGCTGCCCAAGGAGTTGATGTGGAATTGATATATGCTCTGATCTTTACTCCGGCATCGTAACTCACATGGGTGGCCGGGAGTACATGAGAATCGGCTATTGTGTCGTAGGCGTTCGGCTCGTCGTTTGTCAGAATCATGGCGGCACCACCGGCATCTTTCACCGTTTGCCCCTTTGCGATTCGTGCTATCCCGCCTCCTCTTTGGCAAAGTACTATTTTCCCTTTGACATCAATGTTGTCCAACGAGCCGGGCCCGCAAAGTCCCGCAGTTACATTACCACCGGCACCGGCATCGATCAACGGCATGTATTCATATGGGAAGTCACTCGGCTGGAAAAGCGACTCGCCGGTATAAAAATCCTTGTTTCCTAGTACTGCAGCAGCTACTATCTTTCTATCGATAGTGCTAGCGCCAACCGTAAGGATCCAGGGCGCCTCGTTGGACAACGACGCATTGAATGGCCCGGAATTGCCGGCCGAACAGCTCACGAAAATGCCCTTCTGAATAGCTGCAAATGCACCTATAGCAATACCATCGTTGAAGAAATCGACCGAGCCGCCGCCTAGAGAGAGGGAAAGCACGTCCACCCCATCCTCAACGGCGGCATCCATCGCCGCCAATATGTCGGCATCGGAACAACCATCCTCGGAGCAAACTTTGTACATTGCGATATGGGCACGTGGCGCCATGCCGACTGCCGTACCGTTAGCCATGCCAAACACATTGGCGCTCGGGACGAAGTTCCCGGCGGCCGTGCTGGCAGTGTGAGTGCCGTGACCTTCATCGTCGACCGGCGGCCCAGTCGACCCGCCGACGAAGTTTCTCGCACCGATGAGCTTATTGTTGCACGACGTGCCGTTGAACTCGCACTTCCCCTTCCACTTGGCGGGCGGAGGCGGCATACCTTCGTCGTCGAACGAAGGATGTCCCGGAGCAATACCGGTGTCGAGGAGTCCGACGATGACGCCTTCGCCGTAGTGCGAGCCCCGCCACACTCCCAAATTCTGGTGGAGGCCCAAGAAATTAGGAGTGTGGGTTGTGTGCAAAGCCAACTTCTTCTGCGGCCTCGCGAAGATGAATCCGTCCTTCTTCTCCATTTCCTTCACTTCTTCTGGCGAAAGCTTAGCCGCAAAACCGGTGGCCACATTGCGGTAAGAATGAACCAATCGACTCGAGACATCTCCGGCGGCCGTCGCAGTTGTCGGCAAGAAAGAGCCGTACCAGCTCTTTTGTTCATCGGGATCGACGAAAACCCGGCCCTCCGGCAAACTCAAGTGGACAATGAAAGTTTCTAAGTTATCAGCTCTGACTAATGCAGAGGAAAACAACATGTAAATGACAATATAGAATATACACATGATGCTTGAGAATGGTTTGAACATTTTGCTTGCCATTTTTATGATTGATGAATTAGTTTGTTGCATGGTCATATATATATATATATATATATATATATATATATATATATATATATATATATATATATATATATATAAGAGTTTGTGGCCGGCATTTTATGAACTTGGTAAGTCCGCTGAAGGGTCCTTACATGCAAAAATAATCATATATATAAAGTCGATTATTCTTATGTTTAATTAATTTATTTATACTTTGTAATATGTTTTCATTATTTTGTAGTTTAAAATAGTGGCCCTGTTTAATTTATATACTTATGTTGTTGTTTATGTAATGTTGAAGTCTCCCACAAGAAAGAAGTTTTAGCCGGGAAGAGAAATACAAACAAGGGCTCCAAATGAAGAGGACAAAGTTTTGTGGACCGATTCTTTATACATGAAAACTTTATGGTTTATTGATACTAACACGTAAATTGGAAGTTAGACGCTACACCTTAGATCTGAACTCACACTGTACTGTTGTGGTCGCCGCCTCCTTGCCTCCATAACCATCCGCCTTATTGCGCTGCCTCCACCACTATAGTTGCGCCATAGCCACTGCCCCCTCAACATAATGGAGTGGAGAGAGAGAGAGAGGAAACGGAAAAAAAAAGAAACGTGATTCTAGAGTTCACGGATTTTGGTTAAGGGCAAATTAAGGATTTAAAAAAAGGGGAAATTGCACATAACCCCCTGTAATTTTTTAATTTTCTCACTTTACTCCCTTAGAATTTTTAAAAGTGAATGCCCACCTTCAAAATATTATTCTTGTTGCACATTTACCTGACAACAAAACTCCGATGGATTATTCATTGGAATTGAGTATTTTTGTTGCACGTTACCCCTTAAAAACACTATTTTTTTGCACGTTGCTGCTTTAAAATGTTATTTTTGGTGCACAATGCCCTCAAAAAATTGGCTTTTGGGGTAAAGTGCAACCAAAATAATATTTCGAAGGGGCAGTATTCGTTTTTTGAATTTTTTGGGTATAATGCAAAAATGAAAAAATTATAGAGGGTAAAGTGCATTTTATTCTAAAAAAATTAATAATGTGAGTCATATTGGTTTTTTAAGAAATGATTTAGTTAAGAAAAAAAATATTACAATTTTATTCAACATATAATTATGTTTCCATCTAGGGGCCTTCAACTAAACTTTTTATTTATTCTGACAGTTACATCCGTTAGAAAATCAGAGCCTACAATTTCTCACACACTATTTCTATCAGTTATTCCCCATTAGAAATAATTTTTAATGAATATATTCGTTAGAAGATTGCATTTTTGGGGAGATATTACATTTTATGTCCTTAAACTTTACCACTAAAATATTTTTTGTCCCAAACTTTTGCATTCACGAAATATGTCCTCATACTTGCCACTTTTTAACAATTTGTGTTTTACCGTTAACTTTGTCAGTCAAATTGTCACGTGGGGCGCAAGTGATGCCGGCGTGGCCGTCAAATGTTGAGCTGGCATACAAAGCTGTCGATCTAAACCCAATTCCAAAATTTTCTAGATCCCCAATTTTCACGTCACTCTTCACACCCGAAACCCTAGCCATCAAATCTGAAAATTTCTTTCAATCCCATAAACACACTCCCAAATTTACAATGACTTCAATGTTGTTCGAAATCATACGAAGTTCAAAGTCATAAACCCATTACAAATCCCAAATTCCCAAAATTGAAACTCACACTAGTAGAAAATTTGTTTTTTACTACGAAATTGTTTGCTACGGTAAAAAGCCGTAATAAAATGTACTTTTTACTACGGAACAATTTTGAAGTCGTAGTAAATACTAGGATTTACCGTAGCAAAAAAATATTTGGTACGGCTATTTACCGTAGCAAAGTTTTTGTCACGCCCGTATATGCAACGGGACAAATTCGTAGCAAATGCGTAAGAAAAACCTTTTTACTACGAATTTGATACCTTTTGCTACGGTTAATGATCGTAGTAAAAAGCCATTTTTCTATTAGTGTCAAAGATAAGAACTTTGAAGAAACTTACTAAAATTGGAGATTGTTGGTCGATTTGTGATGCTTCAGTTCCACAAATGTTCGATTATTGGCGAAATTATGATTATGCGATCTTGTTGATGCCGAATTTCACCTCAATTTGAGAATTTCTACGGGGAATTCGGGGGTAGAGTTTAGCTGATCAGGTTCAGGTTCAGTGAATCGGGGTAATGAGACATTAAGGATTTCATAATTGAAATAGGGGGAGAGAATGACGTGTCACTCCACGTCATATTTAATCAGCGAAATCGACGTATGGTGTAAGCCAGATCAATCTTAACAGCCAGGTCGATATCATGTGTGCCACATGTGACATTCCGTTTAACTTGACTGGCGAAGTTAACGGCCGAGCACAAATTGTTAAAAAGTGACAAGTTTGAGGATATATTTCATGGATGCAAAAGTTTGAGGACAAAAATCATTTTAGTGGTATAGTTTAGGGACATAAAATGTAATTTTTACCATTTTTAATGTAGTAGTGGATATAATAAAAATAAAAATGACATAAACATCTAATGGAATTAGCTCAAAAAAAAGAAAAAAAGAAAAAGAAAAAAAAAAGGTTGGACTAATCCCTAATTATGTAAGTCACTGAGGGACCATCTTCAATAACGCCTTAAAATAAAGCCCTAATTTAGCATACTAATATATACTCTTGATATACATTTTTGAGTAGTAGTGGAGAAAAAGTAGGATAGCTATTTGTTTATGTTTTTTTGTCGTCCAATATAAATTTCTTTTAATGCACAATTAATTCAAGCACGTTTCTTGTCTTCTTTTTATTCCAAGTAATTATTAATATTTTAAAAATTAATTTTATTTAATTGTATTTGCAACATTTCTGATATTAGATATTTATGCCCTTATTATTGTTTTCTAAATTCAGTTTACATTTCTGATATTAGATATTTATGCCTTTATAACTGTATATCTAAAGTTTAATTTGTGTTACATTCAAAAGTCTATTAATTTAGTTAAATATTAAATTATGGAACTAGTAATTTAGTGAAACATCACCTGTGATAATATTTATTATTGGGTCTATTAGATATAACCCCCTTAAACATTCAAATAATAGGGGTAGACCCAAATTTAAATTTGCCATTTTGATAAAAGCCCTAGCTTTTCGTAATTACATAATTACCCTCAATCAAATCCCACAAATCCCGTTACTTTACCTTTTTAAAATTAATAGACTATCTCATATCTTTTAATAGACTATCCCATGTATCTAATTCGACTATGGGTTTAATTAATTGACTATTGGAAAAATAATAATATATATGGAAACTGAATAATATGTTTGTTTGAAATACTAATCAATTAGGGTAATTTTCCTTATTATATGAAAACGATTAGGGTAAATAATAATATATATGAAAAAATAATAATATATATGGAAACTGAATAATATGTTTGTTATACTAATCAATTAAGGTAATTTTCCTTATATCATGTAATAGACTATCTTATTGATCTAATTCGACTATGGATCTCGTTAATAGAGTATGGATCCCGTATTATTCAACCACATAGTATATTAATAATTTCAATATAGTACATTAATCTGCTGTGATAGTATATTACGGTTATAGTATTGATATGAAATTGTGTTACAAACAATATACCACTGAAATGACAAGAACATTGAGAACAACACCAACGTAAAGTATTCCACATAACCAATAAAATAGTACATTAATAATCTCATAATTTCAATCTAGGGTTTTGATAAAATACATAAAACACATCATAACACAATCAAACCAATATGTCGAGTTAAAAAACTCTAGTACATTAATAATCTCATAATAGTATAATAAAATGATAATGGTAGTATCATACGGTATTCATAATAGTATACTACTGTATTACAACGGTTTAACACTTAACCGAAGTTACCGAGCCATTACATCGTAAACACCTCTTTATAGCAACCAACCCACCAAACCTCAACAAAATCCGTACGAAATTCGCCATCGAAAAAACCTAAAATCATGAAACAAAATTAAAAATGCAGAATACTAAAAAATAATTAAATAGACTGCAAATATATTTCATCAAAAATAAACTTAAAATGCAAAATTCATACGCTAAATTAAAAAAGACTACGAACTATATTTTAATGTACTACCCAGCACACTTAAATCGGCTGTTATAAACAAATAAACCAACTATCGATCGGGATAAAAACATGAACTCGACCAAAGCGGACAATTATTCCGATTATTGCATAAACCAACTACGAAGCTCATATAAAACAACGCTGGTTCGATCTGCGTGAACCATCCTCTTCTAACTCTGTCAATCCTCTTCCAAACAAACATCATCGGCCAAAAAAAACGATATATATATGACGGAATAATTTTGTTAAAAAACGTTCTACTTAATAGAATCAAGTATCAACACAACTCTTAAAAATTTCTAACCACCGTACAAGACAATCATGGACATTGAGCAAAAAATAAAAACGAATAACGCATTCATACCCGCTTAACAACGTCCAACAACAAACGCTCAAAAATCGATCCTATTTCCACGACGGTGCAGAAATCTTCAATGACGATAAAACCCGCTGGAACGATGAAGAGAATCTTCAAAAAATATTGTACACGATTTGATATAACGGCCAATGATCTCACGTAAATTTATTCCGTGATTTTAGGCAACGTATCAGCAAATCTCAAATCACGTATTAAAGGAAATAAATGCTGTTTAATAATAAAACATGGGTATTAAAGAGAAATTATATAATATATTTTGCCAAGTTGGCAAAATTGGGTGTATCTCAAAAAGGGGAAAAAAAATTGGATCTACCTCATTAGAAAATATGAACAAGGGGGTTTTCCCTAATAAACCCTTTATTATTATCTTTTTTCTTTTCTTTTAAGGATCAACAGCGGACATACCAACTTCTTTAAAAGCTGTTTGATTAAAATGCCGGCCAAAACTTATTCGGTTATTCCTCATAGATATATATATATATATATATATATATATATATATATATATATATATATATATATATATATATATATATATATATAGACATATGGGCATGCAAATTGCAATGAACACTCAATCATAAAAATGGGAAGCAATAAGTTCAGACAACTCTCATCAAACATGGCCTTAATCATGTTTATATTCTATGTCATTTGCATGTTGTTTTCATCTCCATTAGTCATAGCCGATGATATAACAATCGAAATCCCGACAAAGAGTAACTTACAAACTTACATCGTCCGCGTAAATTTGCCGAGGGGCCGGGTTTTGGCCGATTCCGACAAGCTAGAGAGCTGGTACACCTCCTTCTTGCCAGCTCGCGAAGAGGCGGATTCGGCTCGATTGGTACACTCTTATCGCAATGTGGCGACCGGTTTTGCGGCGAAGCTATCACCCGAAGAAGCGAAAGAAATGGAGAAAATGGAGGGATTCATTACCGCAAGGCCACAGAAAAAGTTGTCATTGCACACAACTCATAGCCCTAGTTTCTTGGGGCTACACCAGAATTTAGGGTTATGGAAGAGCTCGAACTATGGCGAAGGCGTTATTATCGGACTTCTCGACACCGGTATTGCTCCGGGCCATCCTTCTTTCGACGACAAAGATATGCCCCCTCCGCCTAAGAAATGGAAAGGGAAATGCGAGTTCACCGGAGCAGCGTGCAACAATAAGCTCATCGGTGCAAGAAGTTTCATCAGCGACGGCCCGGCAGGGCCGCCGGTCGACGAAGAAGGCCACGGCACTCACACCGCCGGCACGGCCGCCGGGAACTTCGTTCCGGGCGCCAACGTGTTCGGCATGGCCAACGGTACGGCCGCCGGGATGGCGCCACGCGCGCATCTCGCCGTGTACAAAGTTTGCTCAGAGGACGGGTGTGGCGATGCCGACATACTGGCAGCAATGGATACCGCCGTTGACGACGGGGTCGACGTGCTTTCCCTCTCTCTAGGCGGCGGTTCGTTCGATTTCTTCGACGACGTTATTGCTGTAGGTGCATTCGCAGCTATTCAGAAGGGCATTTTCGTCAGCTGTTCGGCGGGGAATTCCGGGCCGTTTAATGCTTCGTTATCCAACGAAGCGCCCTGGATTCTCACCGTTGGTGCTAGCACTACCGACAGAAGGATATTAGCTACGACGGTGTTAGGAAACAAGGATGTGTATACGGGCGAGTCACTTTTCCAGCCAAGTAACTTCCCGTATGAATCCATGCCGTTGATCGATGCCGGTGCCGGCGGTAATGAAACCGCCGGACTTTGCGGACCCGGCTCGTTGGACGACACCGATGTCAAAGGGAAAATTGTACTATGCCAGAGAGGAGGCGGGGTAGCACGAATAGAGAAGGGGCAAACGGTGAAAGATGCTGGTGGTGCCGCCATGATTCTGATGAATGACGAGCTCGACGCCTACGACACTGTAGCCGATCCTCACGTACTTCCGGCCACGCATGTGAGTTACGATGCAGGAGAAAAGATCAGAGCATATATAAATTCAAGTTCAACACCTTGGGCAGCCATCACGTTTCAAGGCACGGTTATAGCGAACCCGTCCGCTCCAACCGTCGCGTCGTTCTCGTCGAGAGGGCCGAGTTTGGCGAGTCCAGGAATACTTAAACCCGACATCATCGGACCCGGCGTCAGCATACTAGCCGCATGGCCGGTGTCGGTCGACAACAACACGAACGAAAATGCGACATTTAACATGATTTCGGGCACGTCGATGTCGTGCCCACACCTCAGTGGCATTGCAGCATTGCTCAAAAGCACGCACCCTGATTGGTCGCCTGCCGCAATAAAGTCCGCCATTATGACCACCGCCGGTCAGCTTGACTTAGAGGGTGGGCCCATTGAGGACGAGAGACACTTGCCCGCAGACGTATTTGCCCTTGGAGCAGGACACGTTAACCCGTCGAGTGCTAATGATCCGGGGCTTGTTTATGACCTACAACCCGAAGATTACATCCCTTACTTGTGTGGCTTAGGCTACACGGATGATGAAATCCGGACAATTGTGCAGCAGTCGGTTTCTTGCTCGAATATAACGAGCGTACCCGAAGTGCAACTGAATTACCCGTCGTTCTCCGTCAAACTTGGGCCCGCAACGAAAACGTACACGAGGACGGTGACAAATGTTGGGGAGGCAAATTCAACTTATAGCGTCGAAGTTAATCGGGTTAAAGGTGTTGATGTAGGAGTGACACCTGGTACTCTGTCTTTCACCAAAGTGAACCAAAAGATGACGTATGAGATAAAGTTTAGCAAATCTTCAACCCGTGTCAATGCCACTTTCGTGCAAGGGGCAATCGTGTGGCGTTCGGAGAAACGCGCGGTTAGAAGTCCGATTTCGGTCAAGCTCGTTTGATGAGTAGATGGAGGACAATTCAAATCTTGTATTTTGCAAAATAGTATTCCATAATGTAATATGTACTCGTAAGGAAATCTTCAATCATGATTGTTAATCAAGAAAATACACTTCAACTTGGCTTAGGTGGTGTTTGTGGTAAGATAAGATCTCTTTGAACAAATTATGAGCTTTTATTGGCTCATAATATATTTTTCAGTGTTTGTAAATGAGAATTTTGGTGCAAATTTTCTTCAAAGAAATTTAATTTTTAAATATTAAAATTAATGAAGTAAATTATTTCATCCAATATTTCAAAAACAAAAATATATATATATAATATCTTAAATATTTGTTAAATTTAATGTTTATTCAAAAAAAAAAAAATCAATACAAAAATAAGGGATTGTACTTATAAGGGTACCTAATAAAAATGTAACTAATTTTACCAGATAGGTAACGGTTAAATTGAGTAGGGTAAGTGCATTTTTCAAATGCGAGGAGGTAAGTATTAAATATAGTATACTATGAGTCAAAGTGTATTTTAACCTAAAACAATCAGAAAGAAGTTTGGTACCAGTTTTCTTGCACACATTGACATGGATGCCTTATAGGGGTGGATATCGGAACCGAATCTCCAAATTCCGCCGATTCCGATCCGAAAATATCTAATTTTGGAACCGCTTTTTTTTTTTTTTTTTTTTTTTTTTTTTTTTTTTTTTTTCTTCTGATTTCCAAAATTCTGAAATTCGATTTTTCAATTATTTTTGCAAAGTAATCGGAATTGTATATAAAATTATCGGAAATTCCGATTTTAGATCCGATTTTAGTTCCTAAATATATTATATATAATAATTTAATGATATATTTTGTATTTCTATATTAATATAATGTATGATATATATTATATGAATATCTAATTAGGCCCGAGTAAACTAAGACCTTAACATCTCAATTTCCTATAATCTTTCTCTTCACATTCTTTTTTTAATTTGTTATGTTATCTTTTTTGAACTGTTTTTTATTCATGGTTCGCAAGAACTATATATATATATATATTTTTTGTTTGAGAATTTGCAAGAACTATATTGGACTGCTTATGTTGTTCTTACATATGTTTACATTGCATTTTGTTGAACTTTGTTTTGGATTTCTTGTATTTTGTTGGAAAAATTCAAAAAAATTAGAAAAAAATTCTGAAAGATTCCCATTATATCTGAATTTGGAATAAGAAATTATTAATTAATGCAATTTTCAAAATTCTGCCGATTTCAAAGCTTTTTGGAATGCATTTCTACTTTCTGAAAAAAATAAATTTTTTCTTCGTAAAAGCCATTTCTGATCAATTTCGTCCGATTTCCATCCCTAATATCTTATGATGTTTTCCAAAACGAGGACATGGGAATATATATTCTTGATGTAAATATTGGGGTTGAGTAGTGGTTGACTATTTGTTAGGTTTTCTTGTCTTCAAATGTAAATTTCTTTTAATGCAAAATTAATTCAAGCACGTTTCTTGTTTTTTTAATTTTTTTTTACAAATGTGTTTTAAAGTTTGCTATTTGTGGTACCACATAATTCAAAATCAATCACATGATATAATAAAACATGCCCATCTGATTGAATTGCCATAAAATATAACATTTTAATGCACAATTCATTCAAGCACGTTTCTTGTCTTTTTTTATTCGGAAGTAAATTATTACAACGGGTAATGTTAGTCGAGTTCTAGTATGCTCAAACTCAAATACCATTAGATTTCACTTTCAGTACTGAAAGCTCAAATTCACGTACCATCAAACTTTATAATTGTAGTTAGAATGAAACTTGGCTCATATATTATATTTTGAATTTCGAGTTTAAATCGAGCTTACATACATACATATTTTAAATGTGATGAATACAGTTCATGTGCAAATATTTGTATAGTATCATAATACTAGGTTTTTTTTACGAAGAAAAGCTACATGAATATGAGTATTTAACGAAATTCTAATCATTTGCAAATAAGGAAAATAATGTATTTGAGATGATTCAAATAAAAGAAAAAAAAAACATAAATATTGGTTATATAATTTTTTTTTTATTTCTACTTTTAGTATAAGCTCGAAAAACAGTTCAATAGATGAGTGTACGTTCAAATTTTCAATTAGTGTTCGTTGTATAAAATAAATGTTAATAAATATGTCAAAAAATAAATTTAATTAACTTTTAGGGTGCATTTGGATGGAGGGATTTGGGGGAGGGATTTCAAATCCATAATAACAAATCCCTCGAACTTGTTTGGATTGAGGGATTTGGAGATGGATTTCAAATCCCCACCCCTCATTTTTAGTTGATTTTGGAGCAATAGTGATGGATTTCAAATGACTCCAAAATTGGAGTAATTTCAAATCCATTCCCTAAATCAAATCCCTCCCCAAATCCCCCATCCAAATGGACCCTTAAATTACTTATGTGATCAGGCTTAATTTGGATTGAGTCATAATAATTTATAAACTCATATTCGGCTAATAAACTTTTTGGACATAATAGAAGGGCTCAAACTCGGTCCGAATCACAATTAACTTTTCGGGTATACACAGTCCGACACATTTAAGAAAATGATGTAAAGATCATTGGTAGTTTACTTTTGAGTAAATTATTACAAACACCTTAACTAAGGACAAATCATCAAAACACCCCTTAAGTATTCATAATTACCAGAAACCCCCTTAACAGCCTAACGAACTATAATTCTTAGCATAAATATTGTGAAAAAGGTCTATAATACCCTTCACTCCCTCTTATATATACATACACATATGATCACATAATGAACTACATCTTTCAATCATAACAAAATGGCAACCAACTTGATCATGGGTATATTCCATGTCATGATTTGCATGTTATTTTCATCTCCATTAATCATAGCTAAAGATATTACAATTGAAACCCCACCAAAGAGTACCTTACAAACATACATTGTCCATGTAAAGTTACCGAGGGGCCGGGTTTCGGCCGATTCCGACGAGCTCGAGAGGTGGTACATCTCTTTCTTGCCCGGGGACAAGGGCCCGCGCACTCGATTGGTTCGCACTTTTCGACACGTGGCGACCGGTTTTGCGGCGAAGCTAACTTCGGAAGAAGTGAAAGAAATGGAGAAGAAGGAAGGATTCATTACTGCAAGGCTGCAAAAAAAGTTGTCATTGCACACAACTCATAGCCCTAGTTTCTTGGGGCTGCACCAGAACTTAGGATTATGGAAGGGCTCAAACTACGGCGAAGGCGTAATTATCGGACTTATAGACAGCGGAATTTCGCCGGGCCATTCGTCTTTCGACGACAGAGACGTGCCGCCTCCGCCTAAGAAATGGAAAGGGCAGTGCGAGTTCAGCGCCGGGTGCAACAACAAGCTCATCGGTGCAAGAAATTTCGCCAGCGACACGTGGGGCCCGCCGGTCGACGACTACGGCCACGGCACGCACACCGCCAGCACAGCCGCAGGGAACTTTGTTCCCGGCGGCAATGTTTTCGGCATGGCCAACGGTACGGCCGTCGGCATGGCCCCGCGTGCACATCTCGCCATGTACAAAGTCTGCTCCGACGAGGGATGTTACGAGGCGGACATACTGGCGGCGATGGATGCTGCGATCGAGGATGGGGTCCACGTAATGTCCCTCTCTCTAGGCGGCGGTTCGATCGATTTCTTCGACGACGTTATCGCTATAGGTGCATTCGCAGCTATTCAGAAGGGCATTTTCGTCAGCTGTTCGGCGGGGAATTCCGGGCCGTTTGATGGTTCGTTGTCGAACGAGGCGCCCTGGATTCTTACGGTTGGGGCTAGTACTATCGACAGAAGGATAGTAGCTACTGCAGTACTGGGAAACAAGGACGAATACACCGGCGAATCCGTTTACCAGCCGAGCGATTTCCCATATGAAGATATGCCTTTAATTGATGCCGCTGGTGGTAATGTAACTACCGGACTTTGCGAACCGGGCTCGTTGGACAACATTGACGTAAAAGGGAAAATTGTACTCTGCCAGAGTGGAGGCTGGACAGATCCAATCGACAAGGGGCAAACGGTGAAAGATGCCGGTGGTGCCGCCATGATTCTGATGAACAAAGAGCGAGACGCCTACACAACAATAGCCGATCCCCACGTACTTCCGGCCACCGAAGTGAGCTACGATGCCGGAGTGAAGATCAGGGCGTATATAAGTTCGACGTCAACTCCTCGGGCAGCAATCATGTTTCGAGGCACTGTTATTGGATTTCCGTCGGCTCTGACGGTGGCATCGTTCTCGTCGAGAGGGCCGAGTTCGGCGAGTCCCGGAATACTAAAACCCGATATCGTCGGCCCCGGCGTCAACATACTAGCGGCATGGCCGGAATCTGTGGACAACTACCCGAACGAAAATGCGATATTTAACATCATTTCGGGCACGTCGATGTCATGCCCGCACCTCAGTGGCGTTGCGGCACTGCTCAAAAGCGCGCACCCTGATTGGTCGCCTGCCGCAATAAAGTCCGCCATTATGACTACCGCTAGTCAGCTTGACTCAGCGGGTGGGCCCATCGAGGACGAGAGACACTTGCCTGCTGACATATTTGCCCTCGGAGCAGGGCACGTTAACCCGTCGAGTGCTAATGATCCGGGGCTTGTTTATGACCTACAACCCGAAGATTACATCCCTTACTTGTGTGGTTTAGGGTACACAGATGATGAAATCGAGACAATTGTGCATCAGTCAGTTTCTTGCTCGAATATAACGAGCATACCCGAAGCGCAACTAAATTACCCTTCGTTCTCTGTTCAACTTGGGGCTTCTACGAAAACGTACACGAGGACGGTGACGAACGTCGGGGAGGCGAACTCGACTTATAGTGTCGAAATTATTCGGGCGAAGGGTGTCGATTTAGGTGTCGAACCTTGTACGCTTTCGTTCAGCAAAGTGAACCAGAAGATGACGTATGAGATAAGCTTTAGGAAATCTTCCACTTCTGTCAATGGAACTTTCGTGCAAGGAGCGATCGTTTGGCGTTCGGCCAAGCGTGCCGTTAGAAGTCCGATTTCGGTCAAGCTCGTCCGATGAGTACGCTAGATTGAAGAAAATTCGAATCTTGTGTTGCAAAATAGTATTTCATAATCAATTTGCTTATGAGTAAACAAAGCCTATATCAATATCTATCGGTGCATTTTATAAATTACATGTTTAATCATCTTATTTGCATAAAAAACTTGAGAGATATATATTAAAAGACGTGCTATTTCCACCCTCAAAATATTTCATTTCACCATCAAATTAAATATATTTCTCAGTTTACCTATTTTTTCTTCTTTCACCTATATTTTTTTACAAATTTATAAAATCGTGCACCACTAACCTAATTAAAATATTTATTTAAAGAACCCCACCATTTTGACTGGAATCTTTACCGTAAAATCTCATCCTCTCCACCTTAAGTGAATAATACTTTCGTCAAGAAAAACATTTTTGAATGTCAAAAGAGAAGGAATTCACGTTCTTGGAGAAATAAATTAAGAGTGCTTATATGAAAGGTCATGAACTTCCTCTTGAATTGGCCAGTTTGACTTAATATAATTTCGTTCCCTAAAAAAGGGTGGTGAATTATAAATTTAAGGGGTATTTATGGCATTTTGTATATATTTGGTAATGAATTGAGATATTTTGAAAGTAGAAATAGCACCGCTCTATATTAATTGGTATTAACTATTAAGTATCTTTTTTTTTAGTTTAGTATTAATTAACTTGTTCGTTAATTATGAATTAAATTTCAAATTGCTGAAGTATATATGTGCTCATAATCAGCCAAAAGTGTTATTACCGTAATATTTGGTGTGGGTCATACTTTGTGCAGTGTGGATTAAGGTTGTCGAAATCAGGATTTTAAGTGAAATCGAAGAAGGGTAGTCAAAATCGGAAACGTTAATCGGATTGTAAAATCGTAAGATCAGAAGTTCTGGATTATTTGGTAAGGGGCTACATTTGTTTAGTTAAAAAAATGAGTTTTTGAGGCACAAGTTCATAATTTCAGCCCAAATTTTTGACAAAATCGCATTAAAATTGCGTTTCTAACGATTTTGAACGCGATTTCACCCAATTTTGAGGCACTTGCGATTTCAATGCGATCTTACTCATTTACAATGCGTAAAATCTTTCTTACGATTTAACGACTTAGATCTCGATCTTGACTACATTGGTGTGGAAAGTGCATTAATAATTGATTCTGATTAGGGATTTATACAAAATTGACCTCTAACTGCATAATTGATTTAGATATTGTGTTTAATTGAGGTTTAATTAGATAATTTGACACTTAATTGGATTACATTGGCTACAAAACACATAATAGGGTTATTTAGGGCAACTAATTTGGGGATTTTGACAAATTAGGTTTAATTGTCTCTCAGAAATTGGGGATTTTGATTCCAGTACCAATAATTGATGGGTTTATTTGGGATTCTAGTAACAAACTGATCAAGTTATGCCACTGAAATGACTTAATTAAATTGTATGGCTTGCTCGAAGCAGTCTATAACAGTTTAGAGAAATAATAAATTGGGCAAATTGCAGTGTCACCCTATAATTTTTTACTTTTCGCACTTTACCCCATCCAAATTTAGAAAAGTGAATCCCCTTTTAAATGTTATTTTTGTTTCACATTGCCTTGATAGCAAAATTCCGATGAATTATTCACAAGAATTGAGTATTATTTTTTTCGACATTACCCCTTTAAGTGTTGTTTGTATTGCACATTGCCCCTTAAAAATATTAATTTTCTGCACATTGCCCTTTTAAAATGTTACTTTTGGTGCACGATGCCCACTTGTAATTGGCTTTTGGGAGCAAGATACAGCCAAAACAATATTTCGAAGGGGGATTATCCTTTTTTTTTTTTTTTTTTTTTTTTTTAAATTCTTAGGGGGGAAGTGCAAAAAAAGGGAAATTTATAGGGGCTGGAGTGCATTTTGTCCTAATAAATCCATAACTCCATTGATCTTTTAGTTTACCGTCTCTTGTGACCTAAATCCGTTTATGTAGGTTTTTCGAAAGCAAAGAATTCAAATTAGTGACAAGATACGCGATTAAATCGTAAATTGGGCTACAATGACAATTCTTATATGGAAACTAATCAAAATCGTCGAAGGTTTTGAGTTGCTATCGAACTCCAACATGGTACTACAATATCCCGTCGTTTGATTTTGCAGTCTTTCAAAGTTTATTCAATGAGTGTCGTATTTTGCATTTATCTACTACGCGACTCCATATTTTATTGTCACAACAATTAACTATTAGGGGTAAACATCACTTAACCTCCTGTGTTTTAAACTTTGTGCACATGACCCCCTGTAGTTTGAGGCTTGAGCTGTATGCACTTGACTCTCTTGTGTTACATTATTTCATCTTCGCCGTTCGGAATCGGCCGGTGTTCGGAATATGTAATTTGTTATTATTTTCCCGGCTAAAAGATTCTTGGTTGCAGAAGAAAGGGCCAACACCTTCAACATCACATTCAACTAATTAAATCCACAGTTTATAAACTAGAATTAAAGTAAGTGATTATTGAAACATTAAACTTAAGAATTATCGACCAATGATTTCTCTCCAATTTTCTTGTACGGAATTACCAACTTCAAGAAACAGCTCCTAAATCAGACCTCTTATATATACATACATAATTACATACATAAACCATCCAATAAAGTAATTAATCAATCATAAAAATGGCAACCAACAAATTCAAACCACTCTCAAAGATCATATGTATATTATTATATGTTATTTACATGTTGTTTTCTTCTGCATTAGTCATAGCTGAAGATATAACAATTGAAATCCCACCAAAGAATGTTAACTTAGAAACTTACATTGTCCATGTAAATTTGCCGACGGGCCGGGTTTTGGCCGATTCCGACGGGCTGAAGAGCTGGTACACCTCCTTCTTGCCGACAACTACAACGACTGCCGACGATGCTTCGAGTCGGTTGGTGCACTCTTACCGAAATGCGTGGCGACCGGTTTTGCAGCTAAGCTTTCACCCGAAGAAGTGAAAGAAATGGAGAAAAAGGATGGATTCGTCTTCGCAAGGCGACAGAAGAAGTTGCCTTTGCACACAACTCACACTCCGAGTTTCTTGGGGCTCCATCAGAATTTAGGATTTTGGCGTGGCTCGAATTATGGCGAAGGCGTAATTATCGGACTTTTCGACACCGGTATTGCTCCGGGCCATCCGTCTTTCGACGACAAAGATATGCCGCCTCCGCCTGCAGAGTGGAAGGGGAAATGTGAGTTCAATAGTTCCACGTGCAACAATAAGCTTATCGGTGCGAGAAATTTAGTCAGCGGTCCGACACGGCCGCCTGTCGACGACGAAGGTCACGGAACACACACCGCCAGCACGGCCGCAGGAAACTTCGTTCAAGGCGCAAACGTTTTCGGCATGGCTAATGGTACGGCCGTCGGCATTGCCCCACGTGCGCATCTCGCCATGTACAAAGTTTGCTCCGAGGACGGATGCGCGGAGGCCGACATATTGGCGGCAATGGATGCTGCAATCGAGGATGGGGTCCACGTGCTTTCCCTCTCTCTAGGTGGAGGCTCGGCCGATTTTTTCGCCGATGGTATTGCTATAGGTGCATTCGCAGCTATTCAGAAGGGCATTTTCGTGAGCTGTTCGGCGGGCAATTCCGGGCCGTTTAATGCTTCGTTATCCAACGAGGCGCCATGGATTCTTACTGTCGGTGCTAGCACTATCGATAGAAGGATTGTCGCTACTGCAATATTGGGAAACAGAAACATGGATGGATATGATGGCCAGTCGCTTTTTCAGCCGAGTGACTTCTCGTCCGATAAGTACCTACCCTTGGTTGATGCCGGTGCAAATGGAAACGGAACCGCCGGAATTTGCGGGCCCGGCTCTTTGGACAACATTGACGTCAAAGGGAAAATTGTATTGTGCGAGCGAGGTGGTGGAATAGCACGAATCGCAAAGGGGCAAACAGTGAAGGATGCCGGTGGTGCCGCCATGATTCTGATGAACGACGAGCTGGACGCCTATATCACGATAGCCGATGCTCATGTACTTCCGGCCACTCACGTGAGCTACGATGCAGGGGAAAAAATCAGAGCGTATATAAGTTCGACATCAACGCCTACGGCCACAATCCTGTTTCAAGGCACAGATATAGGGTACCCGATGGACCCGATCGTGGCGTCTTTCTCTTCGAGAGGACCCAGTTTGGCGAGTCCGGGAATCCTTAAACCCGACATTATTGGTCCCGGCGTGAGCATACTAGCGGCATGGCCCGTATCGGTCGACAACTACACGAACGAAAAGGCGACATTTAACATGATTTCGGGCACATCAATGTCGTGCCCGCACCTCAGTGGCATTGCGGCACTGCTCAAAAGCGCGCACCCTGATTGGTCGCCTGCCGCCATCAAGTCAGCCATTATGACTACCGCCGCCCAAGTCAATGTAGGCGGTGGCCCCATTGACGACGAGAGGTACTTGAATGCGGATATATTTGCACTCGGAGCAGGACATGTGAACCCGACAAGTGCGAATGATCCGGGGCTTGTTTATGACTTACAATCCGAAGATTACATTCCTTACCTGTGTGGCTTAGGCTACACGGATACGGAAATCCAAGCCATTGTGCAGAAGCCCGTTTCTTGCTCGAATATAACGAGCATACCCGAAGCACAACTAAACTACCCTTCGTTCTCTGTCGAACTCGGGCCCGCCAAGAAAACGTACACGAGGACGGTGACAAATGTCGGCGAAGCAAATTCGACTTATAGTCTCGAAATTATTCTGGCTAAGGGTGTTGATATAAGTGTTACACCCGATACTCTTTCTTTCGGCGAAGTGAACCAAAAGATGTCGTACGAGATAAGCTTTAGCAAATCTGGCACCCCTGTCAATGCCGCTTTCGTGCAAGCGGCAATCGTGTGGCGTTCGGCCAAACGCGCGGTTAGAAGTCCGATTTCGGTCAAGCTGGTCTAATGTGTGTGTCTTTTTATTTATTTTTTCCCATTGTATTGAATCGTTGCATGATTCTTATAGTATTAGGTAAGTTCATCTAAGTACTAATAACAGAAAGAAATAAAGAGTGGTGTAAGTGATTTGTTTTATTAGTCATAA